CCCTCCTTGGGGGGGCTCTCTCTAACTATCAATACAGTGGTGTGGTAATTGAATCTTCTTGTTAGGTCTAGACTCTTCTCTCTTTTTGGTAAAGCTCCCAAATGCTGAGTTACTTTGTCTTGTAGGAATGGAGAACCCTTGTCATTATCTGGTCAAATCTGAAAACTTGTATCCCAGGTGGAAACCTGTCTTATTACATGTTACTAATATGTCTCTCTGTCACTTTTTGCTCTGAGTCTGTAAGAGGAAGTCTATAGCAAAGTGACAAGGCATGAACTACTGAAGCTATCCTGCAGACAAATCCAAGAACTGACAGGTTCAGATGTTCTCATTCTAACAGAATCCTTAGTAAAAACTGCCCTGGGCCACCTGTCAGAATATCATGAAGACTTTCCTCAGTTTCTTCTCGTTTTCCTCCATGGGAGAAAATGCTTCTGGAAGAAATCACTACCAAACCTCAAGTCTTCTTAGAATTAAGATTTGTCAGGTCTCCAATTTAAGATACCAACCACTAGGTTGGAGCCCAAGACATAAGCTGTATTAGCAACATAATGACCAACACTGTCAGATTCTTATGCCTGTGTTTCAGTTTAGGCCAATGCCCCCTTCAAGTCAGATTCAATGTTTTGATCATCTTATGTATATTTATACTATGATTTTAAATTGCATACTTACTGTTCCTAATAGCATAATTTCACTAAGTATATTTTAGAATTACAGTGGCTACCTTGGAGGGGGATATATGAACAAAACTGTTCATGTAAAAGATGCCTTAGAATGAAAAAGCAAAATCCTACATATCCAATAGTCTGCACTTCTCAACTGGCACAATAAAAATTCCAAAAAAATTTTCAAAGTCTACAAATTGCTTCCTTAAAAGATTTGGTGGCCAAAGCCAATTTTTAAGAATGTGAAAATGTAAAATTATGTCTTGTTAGGACACCCTCAAATCCCACTGAAAGAAATGGCCTTTACCCCACTATTTCTTATCTCCTGTCCTATCCTTCTCCATTACCTGAGAACCCTATCCTTCTTTTGTGTTTTCATTCCCATCTGAAGTGCCAGAAACAAAAGCTCAATGACTTCTTAAAATTAAATTCCTTTCAGAATACATCAAGTGCCATATGGTTTATTTTTGAGCTCTGATCTTTTTCTGAGCTGAATAGTCAGACATTTTCCAAAGTCTAATAAACAAGATAAACAAGAAATTGCAGCAGAATTTAGAATTCTGTATACTTTAATTCGTCTTTTCCACATTTCCTACCTCAATAAAAATGTCAGGAAAACACTGAATTGTAAAAATCAGAAATACAAAAGTCATTCATAATACTGCACGGCTAAGACCCTTTCAATACTCTCTGACTTTAAACTTTTCTTGACTATTTCTGTTTAGTTCCTAGAATTTAAAAAAAAGGGGGGAGGCCTGGAGATAATTTTTATTCGGATTTTGTTGGTTTTCGAATTATCCTACATAGAAGTACATCTTTATGACACTGACATTTTCTGTACAAGAACATAGTACATCTTTTCCATTTGTCAAGTCTACCTTTCTGTCAACATTAACCCTAAATATCTGTCTAATATCTCCACTGCAATTGACCTCCATTACTATCATCTTAATCCAAGCCATCATTTCTCACATTGACTATTCAATAGTGTACTAATCTGTCTACTGTCTCCATTCTTTTCCCAGTCCACACTACTATCAACAGTAATATTTTCAAAGTACAAAGTCAACTGTATCATCCTGTTGTTTAAAATAACTTCATTTGTTTCCCATTGTACCTAGGATAATAATCAAAATTCTTAACATGGCAAAAAAGATTTGGTCCCTATCTACTACTCTGGCCTAAGCTTATACCCTGTGCCTACTCATGTCTTTCACTCTTAGCAACACTGGTCTTTTAGTTGCCTACCCACTAAACCTTTATAAATGCTGCTTCCCCCTTTTCCCTTGGACATGTGCTTCCCTCCTTTTCACACAATAAATTCCTATCCACCTTCAGAGCTCCAGAGCAGTCACCGATCCTCAAAATCCTTTATCCATTCTCCTTCACCAGATCAAATCCTCCTAATATATAACTAGTCAAAGCCAGCATGCATATCCCTCATGATATTTGTCACAGTTCCAATATATATTGATTTTTGTGATTTTATTATCTCTCTCATTATCATAAAATATCCATGAAGGCAGAGATAGTTACTAGTTTTGCTAATTTTTTGCTAATTTCTATTAATAACATAATAGAGTTTTAGTCATATCATCTTTCTTAATAGTAAGAGAGAAGCTGGGAGTAGAGAGGAACAAGGCATTCTAGATGTGACAGAACAAATGACTAGCTTTCCATCATGATTCATCTCTCCTTCCTTCAGAGCAGAATTACTACTGAGAAGCAATCCCTGCATATAGGTGTGGCCACCTGGTTAGTTCTTGGCAAACAGTGTAGGTAAAAATGTCATGTGTCAATTCAAGGCCAAGGCTTTTAGGGAACATCTGCCTCTTCAGGTTCTCCTTTGTTTTCCACTATGTGAAGAGGACAGCAATGCTCTAGAGTAAGGTGAAGACACAAAATGGGTCACTTCATGGACCTCTCTTCTCCTGCCTCAGCAGAATAAATTTCTCAACAGAACTTACGCAAAGTCTGACTTTTCTAAAAATTTCTTACAAGCACTCCTAGTTTCGTAACTCTTTTCCTTATAGATACTGTATAGTGTTCCACTACCAGCTATCATATGCCTATACAAAAACAATCCTTTATTTTTCCATAGAAAAAACAGCTCTGTTCAATGCTGAATATGTATTTCTATGGAAATCTACCTCTTCAATACAAAAAATAATCCTGTGAGCTGACTTACTACCCACAGCCTTACAAGGGTAGTATGAATGATTAATTTCTACTCTAACCCTGAAAGTGAAGAATATAGAATTGAGGGTGGGCAGATAGTTAAGGGATAGAAGTGAAGCTGTTTAAAATAATTCATTTAGAAGAGGGGATTCTGAATATATACACCTACCTTTAAATGGACCAGTCAACACAGAACTGGATTATAGTTACCTTAGGATAAAGATTAGTGTCTGATAAACTTTCTCTTCTTTGTATACTCTTATATATTTGGTTTACTTGTTTTCTCTTTATAATCCACTCACACAACACACATATTTTAGGGATCCACACTATATATCAGACAATATGCTAAGTACTAGTGATTATCAATAAGTAAGACCACTAAGATCCTTGCCATTTTGGAACCGACAGATTAGTTTTTTTTTTTAAAGGTAGACTATAAACAAAGATGCAAATAAAGAAGAAAATAAATACATAAAAATTGTGAAACATAACTTGAAGAAAATGTACAAAGACAGGCTTATCTCTTGGTGTTACAAATAAGGTGGCTTCTCCAGGTCCCATACAAGACAATGAACATTATGCCTTTTGATGTATATGTGTGTGTGCCTCTGTGTGTGTTTACAGGCACACTCACAAGCACATGTATTACACAGATCAATATTCATGTGTTTGAGTAAATTCCACATAATAGAGTGGGTCTGCACCAGGTGAATTATGCCAGGCCCACAATCCTCTAGGGACAGCCTTAAACAAGGGCACAACCCTATTCAAACACTATACAAGGAATGGTTCTATTTAAGTGCAATGGTCATGTCTATACCAATAGATCTCAAATACCAATGCTTGCAGAGACAGCAAAAGAGTGCATAAGAATCACCTGGAAACTTGCGATAAAAATTTCCAGTCTTCATTCTTAGCAATTTTCATTTAGTAGGCCTGAAATGGATTTTCATAAAGTTCCACCTATATGATTCTGACACTCTGGTAGATCTGGACCCTTAGTCACAACTCTGCCTTGGCTCTTCCGTATTTCTTTCACCACAATCAAAGCATGACAAAGAACTATGCTATTCAGTGCCCTAAGGCACAGAATAAATCGTCTTCAAATAAATAAACAAAGGTATTATAAAGAAAGGTGTGATTTTTGTTTTGTTTTCCTAAACAAAATGCCTCCTCTTATTAAGAAGTTTTCACTTAGAGGCAGAAAAGATAAATTCTGGGGAAACAGTTTTCAAAATGCAGAACATGAACTACTAGCGGTATAGCAGGCTTTTAATATGCTGCCCAAAATAAATTTAGATAATACACACGATTATTTTACATGGTGAATGGACATACACTAAAAGACAGTGAATCACAAAGGAAAAAATGTACTTTCTTTTCAATTATCTTTCAATCAGAAATCTTCAGTTAGCTATTGGTAATGTCTGCTACACCTGTATGTCATTGCTTATCTGATTTTAAGAAACAGAGAACATGTCTCAGAATCTTGTTATTTAGCTAGAATTTAGTGCCATTGTTTTGTTTTCACTGTATTTTTAAGGCTATCATCCATTTAAAGCATATGATACTGATTTTCATTTATACTTATAAATGAAAAGAAGATGAACTGTCAGTTTTTGAATTTTTTAAGTTAATTTCTATTGAAGCACAGTTGATTTACAATATTGTGCTAGTTTCCACTGTACAGCAAAATGAATCAGTTATAATATACATATATCCACTCTTTTTTAGATTCTGTGGATTTTTTTAAGGTAGCATAAATTACATGCAGATATTGCAAAAATTATGAGGATTCTGCTGTATGAATGAATGAATGAATGAAATTTAGAATTACTACTGTGAGGTATCACTAAAAGTAACAGCCAATTTTTCTGTCTCTAACTCCCTCTCTCTCTCACACACACACACACACACAAACACAAATAACTAATCCAAATGAACAATAGAAAGTCACAAAATAGTTATAGGAAGACATTCAATGAACAGTCTATTTCAGACAAAATAATGACATTACATAATATGACAATTATTGTTTGTAAATTTCTTGACTAAATGAATATGATAGTATCTGACTATACATATCGGAAATTTATGTATGCTCTAATCTGAAAGCCAGGATAACTATCACATGTACGTTTTATTACATACCTTATAATCCTTGGGTCTACAGCAGCCAAGATGAGAATGATCTAAAAAAGGATGTATAAAAGAAACTATAAATATTTCCACCAAAAAGAAATTTGGTTTAATCTTTGTTTTTTCCTACAGTCACTGTTTCTATGATTACAATTCACACAGCAGTTTTCAGAAATACCTTCAAAATCCTTCAGTAATGTTACAAAGATGTTAAGCGTAAGTTAAAATCTATAAGTTCTTTAGCAAATAAGTGATTTCACAAATATTATTTTCATTACAGTAGGAGGTATCTGATATAGACCATGTTAATTTTTATTTGATAAACCAATTTGTGTGCATGAAAAGGACAATTTTTAATTGACAAACTAGTTTATGATGATACATATTTTGAACATGTAGACTTGATAGATACTGCCAAACTACAAATGTTCTTAATCTTGGAGTCCATGCCTGAATCAAGTAAGTGTAATGGAAAGAAGACCAGCTTTAGCACATGGGAGCATGCTGTCCTGCAGTGTGTAGATCTTGCTGACAAACAGATGTGCATTACAGTTTAGGCACCAGCACTTCTAATATGGCAATGGGCATATTCTCTGACTTTTCCAAGTCTCAGATCCTTCAACTGTCCCATGTACCTCTTTCATAATACTGTTTTAAAGATTACATTAGATATTACATATAAGGCAGTAAAATAAATGCTAACTATTATTACTAACTGCTTCCCTGGTGGATCAGACAGTAAAGTGTCTCCCTGCAACGCAGGAGACCTGCTGGGTCGGGAAGATCCCCTGGAGAAGGAAATGGCAACGCACTCTAGTACTCTTGCCTGGAAAATCTCACGGATGGAGGAACCTGGTAGGCTACAGTCCATGGGGTCACAAAGAGTCAGACACGACTAAGCGACTTCACTTTCTTTCTGTTATTACTAACACAACATCAACATCATTACTATTGAATTCTAACTCAAACAAGGCCAGGTTCAATTTGCCATAGATGCTAATTTGGTCAAGTTATACAATTAATTTCACGCCTCATTTTAAAAGTATAAAGACAATGCTTACCTTACCTCAAGAGAGTTATAGTTATGATTAAATTATATAATTCATAAAAGTACCTATTCTCAGTATTTACAACAGTGGATTGTAAAATTATTTCAAATCTCCCCCTAAAACAAACCACTACATTATAAATGTACATTTGGTGTTCTATTTATTACTTAAAGGAGTCAACTTTGTAGAATTATAACCTCTATTATATTGATAGATGAGAAAATCAGAACCATAATTTGAAATTCTACTTCTTTACTAATACATTTCAATAAAAAACACTCTTAACAGTCTATATCTTACCTTCCCTAACCACTCTGTGCAGAGAAGCAGGTTCTATAGATACAGACCCAGGATGGTCTGTGCCCTGCTGTGCTCAATGGTGTCTGACTCTTTGTGACCCCATGGACTGTACCCCACCAGGCTTATCTGTCCATGGAATTCTCCAGGCAAAAACCATTTATAAACTTACCCTAATTCAGACAAACTTCTACAATTTTCATTTTTATAAACTAAGCTAATACTTTGATCTGAGGTTTCTTAATGTTCACATTTAACCACTTTTACTAACAATTAGGCACTAACTATATCCTAAATGTACGAGATAAAGGAGATAAAAATCATGGCCCATGGTTGTGCAGTGCTTATAATTTACTTAAGTTATTACCAAGTCAAATAACAGCAGCATTAACGGACAAGCTACATCAGAATGGTACTGGCAATTAATGCTATTAAAAAGTCGTATCAGAGCTCAATCTCTCAAAGTTGAAGACAGTCAGGCAAAACTTCCTACAGGAGTAAAAAGTTGAGCTGGGCCTTAATGAATGGGTCACACGAAAGAAAAGTATACAGAAAACAAAAACGCTAATTTAGATTGTATGTGTGTATATGTGTGATCTTGAACAACTTACATTTCCTTAAATCTCAGATTTCTTCATCTGTAAAATGAGGATAACTAATAGTACCTAAAATTTTTGAGGTTACTGTGAGTAATGAATCAATGAAATATAAGTACTTAGAATAATGGCTAGCAGAAAACACAATAAATATTAGCTATTATTTGATTCTCCTATGATCTCATGAAATCAGTGTTACAAACTGAATATTTGTGTCCTCCCAAAATGTGTATGTTGAAGGCCTACTCCTCAAAGTGATGGCATTTGGAAATGAGAGGTATTTGCTAAGTCCTAAGCAAATTAAAAAAGGACAACTTTAAAATGCTCAAATGACCAGATGAAGCTTCCAAATATTCTTAAGGGACAAGAGATACTAAGTTTCTTCAAAAGGACTGCATAGATTAGAATTATATTTCATGGAAATTCCAGCCAGAGAAAACTTGGAAATTTTATTTAAAAAAAAATACATTTAAAGGATAGTAGGGAAAGGAGGAAGAGAGTGGTGGAAAAGAAAGGAACTTGGGGTTGTTAAGATCTGGGTTCAAGTTCTATAGTGCTCCAACATGTCACATAGCCTCTCTAAGCTTTGGTCACTCTCTTCCTGATCAAACATAGTTAAATCCACCTTCACATGACTCGAATGAAGACTAAGTCAATCAACACTGGTGAAAATGGAATCCTATAGGAACTTAAAAATTATTCTGAAAGATAATTTGGTAAGAAAATTTTCAAGAAGGATTTCCAAGATAGTCATAAATGAAAATTTACTATGCCTGAGGCTATCATGAGAAATTTACACATGTATTTAAATAGCTGATGAGAACCCAAAGTACAGTTGCTCAACCGCCAGTCAGAAAGAAAAGCAATCCAAAGAATAAGGGCATTAAAGTTAGAGAAAAGAGAAGGGGAAACTCAAAAGGCAAATAATAAATGTATAAAGAAAAATGGAATTCTAAAAATACTTGGTAAAAATCACTGTAACAAATTGTTTCCAGCAAGAATCATCAACACATGGTAAAGAGGTCAAAGCCAAGGAGAATTAACCGAGCCTCCACCCCCGTAATTACAAAGGGAGGAGGAAACAGCACCTGTTCCCGCAGAAACCCAGCAGATACCACCATAGTCAAGTGAGCCATTAACATTATCAGTGACAAAGCGACATCGCGTACACCTTGATGTGCGGCACTGACAGTAACATATCATTTCTGCTGTGTTCTGGAGAAAATGAGTAATTCTAATAAAGAGGAAAATAGTAAATCAAACCCGAAATGAGGGACATTCTATTAAAAAAGTGGCCTTTATTCTTAAAAATGACCACAAAAATAAAGAAAGGCCAAGGAACCGATCCATATTAAAGAAAACAAAAGAGATGCGGCAGCTGAAGGTTATGCATGATGTGGCATTCTTTTTGCTATAAAATAGGTATTAGAACAAGTGGCAAAATCTGAGCTAGGTTTATAGATTAGTCAACATTATTATATTGTTAGTTTCTTGTTTTGATAATTACATCACCTTAAGATAAAAACTGGAGAAGGAAATGGCAACCCACTCCAGTGTTCTTGCCTGGAGAACCCCAGGGATGGAGGGGCCTGCTGGGCTGCCGTCTATGGGGTTGCACAGAGTTGGACACGACTGAAGCGCCTCAGCAGCAAGATAAAAACCGTGTTAGTTTTCTCAGGCTGTCTTCTACCATAGACTAGGTGAATTAAACAATAAACATTTTCTTTCTCATACTTCTAAAAGCTAGAAGTCTGAGATGTGGGCGCCAACACAGCCAGGTTTTAGTGAAAGCTCTCATTCTGGCTTGAGGATGGCTGCCTTTTGGTTGTGTCCTTACATGACAGAGAGAAAGGAAGATCACTGATATGGGATCTCTGACATTAATCCTATCATGAGAACCCTACCCCATAAACTCATCTAAACCTAATTACCTCCCAAAGATACCCATCTTTACCCATCTCCAAATACCACCGCTGGGGGTTAGAACTTGAACATATGAATTTTGAGGGACACAATTCAGTCTACAGCAATGTCGGGAAAAATTTATACACAGACACACATACAGAGATGGAGGCAAGAAGGAGAAAGAAAGAGAAAGATGGAGGGAGAAGGAAAAGCAAATATTAATATTTGCAGATTCTGAGTCAAAGGCATAGGGGAATTCTTTGTACTACTTCCACTTTCTATAAGTCTAAAATCATATCAAAATAAAAAGTTAAAAGAAAAAAGCCTCGCATTATTGACTTCTCTAATTGTACCTCTATATAGGCAGCTGATTGCTTTGATATGAAGTTACTAGAAACTGTAACAGTCCTGCTGGGAAATATATAATAACTGTTAGGGGAAATCAGACATTTAAGTGCATTCCAAAAACATCTTCCCAAGAAAAGTCTATATTGAAGTCATTTTCAATTTTTATGGTCCTTAAAGCATATTTACTCAATGTCTATAAATTAAGTCCAAGAGGGGAAACAGTATAACATCTGTTCCTAATTTCATATAATCTATTATTCAGAGTACAAAAGGCTTATCGATTACCATATTTATCTCCCAGTTAATGCTAAAAAAGGAAAACAGGTGAGCACAAACTCTTCATGTTCTTAGATAAGAATGTTTTGTATCCTAATTTTAAAAGAAAGAGAGATTATATACTAGAGTTTAGAATCAGAAAGAGACAAAGCTCACAACACGTTGATTATATTTTTTTACTCTCACTTTTCTATGCCTTTTTCGTAGTGTACAATAAATTAACTTAAAGGCTTCTGGTGAATTGACTAGCCAACGTCTACAGATATTAACACTTAGATGTCACTAATTGGGCTTCCCAGGTAGCTCAGAGGTAAAGAATCCTTCTGCCAATGCAGAAGACATGGAGATGCTGGTTCAATCTCTGGGTCAGGAAGATCCCTTGGGGAAGGAAATGGCAACCCACTCCATGTTTGTGACTGCCTGAAGAATCTCATGGACAGTGCAGCCTGGTGAGTTACAGTCCGTAGGGTCACAGAATCAGACACAACTGAGCGTGCGCACATGTGCACGTGTGCACACACACACACACACACACACAAACAAATCCCCAACTATAAAATACTATTTAATCTTCTTTATTAAAATCATCTTCATAATGAACTTATAAATACCCTATCTAACTATTAGGATCAGGCCTAAAAACTAAACCTAAAGAACGTTATCTTTCCTGAAATATAAATATTATTGTGACAGCTGATACTTAGTGTCCTGTGTGCTAGGGCATTTTGCATAGTAATATTTATCATGTTATCTTCATTCTTCAATAAACTGATAATCAGAGTAATTAAGATAATTTGTTCAAGAATACTCAGTTTATAAATAAGTGGCTGAGCAAGAATTCAAATATAAGTGTAAATGTATGTACAAAAGTATCAGCTTGAACTCTTTTTACAACTGTATTTCCCAAAGCCTGTTCCACAAAGTAAGTAATGCATGTTAAAGTAGGAAAAAGGTTTCATGGCCAAATAAATTTAAAAACTGTTGAGGAAAACAAAATCAAAGTTTTGTTTTGTTTTGTTTTACTAAAAGGTATCACAGTCTTTAATATGCTAATATGTGTTTTGAATCACAAAGATGATTTATAGCAGCACTTAAATTCTATTAAAGAATATCTACTTGGGTATCCCATAAGTTTTAAAAAGTGTCATTGTAACATACTTTTCAATATAGCCAAGATTCTCTTTTGTTTTAATTGATGCCAAGATAAACACTTGAATGTAGGAAAGATAACTAAAACAACAGAGATAACTTATATATTAATTACCATTGTGCAGCCTGGACCATCCATCTCTTTCACAGTCTCTGCCAGGAGATCCAAATAAAGCATCGGCCCTGGGACTTGGGGGATCGACCTAGAATAAGGAAAATTTCAATGTAACAAAAAGCTTAATTTTTCTTTCAGTCTAATGGTACCAGAAAATCAAGTAAGGTACATAGATCACACATCATCAGGTTAACATGATACTGCCTACATAGTTCAGGTACGTTCCCAAATCAGAGCTTAGCCAAGAATTTTGCTATTTAAGTAAAATTTAAATTCCAGAAATTTTAAATTATATTCTGAATCCACTCTAAAATGAATAGATTTACACTTGAAGTGTCCATTACTCTACTGCCTAGTATGAGTCCCACTACAAAGTTAAAAATAGAGAAATCTTACTTTGCTACATTTCAAAAACAAGTTCAGCCATTTATTACTTATCTCCTTAGCATACAGATTTTGAATTTAGTGTTTTTACCTGGCTGCGTTTAGGAGCCAGCATTCTGAGTAGGAATAACATACTAACAGTCATCCATGTTTTCTAACAAAAAGAGTCAGGCTGATTTAAATCTGTACAGAAAAGACAGCTCTATCTACCAAAATTAAAAGCTTTTTACATAAAAGGGCAGTATCAAGAGAGTGAAAAGGCAACCCATGTAGTAGGGCAAAATATTTGCAAATTATTATCTGAAAAGGCATTAATATCTAGACTATATAAACAAACTTCAAAAACTCAATAAAAAAAATTGAGCAAAGGGCTTAAAAAAGACATTTCTCCAAAAAAATTTATACAAATGACCAATAAGCACATGAAAAACCATTCAGCATCACTAATCATTAGTAAAATGCAAGTCAAGTCTATTTTACCCCCATCAGGATGGCCATTATAAAAAAGCAGAAAATAACAAGTGTTGGCAAGGCTGTGGAGATATTGAACTGCTTGTGCACTCTTAGCAGTGCACAAGGAATGTAAATAGGTGCAGCCACTGTGGAAAGCAGCATGGTGGTTCTTCAAAACAGGACTGTCATATGACCCAGCAATTCCACTTCTGGGTATATACTCAAAAGAACTGAAGAGCAAGGCCCTGAGCAGATATTTCTATAGTATGTTCAGAGCAGTAGTATTCACAACAGCCAAAAGATAGAAGCAATCCAAGGGCCCATCAACTGATGAATGGGTAAACTAATAAATATGGTATATACATTTAAAAGATTATCCAGCTGTAACAAGGAAGAAAATTCTGACACATGTTGTAGCATGAGTTAACCTTAATGCCTTGCTGCTGTGCTGTGTTTAGTCTCAGTCGTGTCTGACTGCAGACCCATGGACTGTAGCCCACCATGATCCTCTGTCCACAGGGATTCTCCAGGAAAGAATACTCGAGTGGGTCACCATGTCCTCCTCCAGGGGATCTTCCCGACCCAGGAATAGAACCAGGGTCTCCTGCATTGCAGGTTGATTCTTTACCACCTGAGCTACCAGGGAAGCCCTTTAATGATGCTATTCTAAGTGAAATGAGCAATTCACAAATTGACAAATATTGTATGTTTTGGGTACAACTTATATGAGATACCCAAAGCAGTAAAATTCATAGACACAAAAAAGTAGAAAGGCAGTTGCCAAGGGATGAAGGGGGAAAGAAATGGGTAATTATTGTTTAATGAGTTCAGCATTTCAGTTTAGCAAAATGCAGAACGTTTTGGAGATAAATGGTGGTGGTCATCACCACAACAATGTGAATGTACTTAATGTATATACTTTAAAATGTACACTTAAAATGGTTAAAATAGTAAGTTTTATATAGTGTATATTTTACCATGATTTTTTAAAAATTTAAATTAAAAAAGTGAAAAGGCAAGCAACAGAATAAGAAAAATACTTGCGAATCATATACCTGACAAGGCTCTAGACCCCTAATATATATATAAGGAAAACTTACAACTTAATTCAACTAAAAGGCAAGCAACCTAATTAAAAAATTGGCGAAGGTCTTGAATAGACATTTCTCCAAAGAAGATATGTAAATGGCCAACAAGTACAAGAAAAGAAGAAAAGCAAAGATTTCTCATTAGAGAAATGCAAATAAAATAATGAGATACCACTCTACACCCCTCAGGATAGCTACAATAAAAATAAAACAAAACAGAAAATAATAGACATTAGTGAGAATGTGGATAAATTGGAAACATTATACATTGCTGGTGAAAACATAACAGAGCAAACTCTGGAAAACAGTTTGGCAATTCTTCAGCAAGTTAAACACAGAATTACCACGTGTTAGTCACTCAGTTCTGTCCGACGCTTTGTGAACCCATGGACTATAGCCCACCAAGCTCCTCTGTCCATGGGACTTCCCAGGCAAGAATACTGGAGTGGGCTGCCATTCCCCTCTCCAGGCAATCTTTCTGACCCAGGGATTGAACTCAGGTCTCCCGCATTGCAGGCAGGTTCTTTACCACTGAGCCACCAGGGAAGCCCATACGGCCCCGCAATCCCCCTCCTAGGTGTTAAAGCAGCTGGGAATTAAAACAGATACTCAAATAAAACTTGTACATGAATGTTCACAGAACTACTATTCACATAACTAAGAGGTGAAAATTCAAATGTCCATCAACAGATTAATGGATACACAAAATGTACACTGAATTATTCAGTCATAAAAAGAATCAAGTACTGATACATGATGAAACACAAATGAAAGTTGAAAGCACTGTACTAAATGAAAAAAGACAAAAAGGCAAAACTTGTATGCTTCTATTTATATGAAATGGCAGAAGAGAAATATTATATTATGAATATTTTACCATAATAGAAAAAAATACTAACTTCTACATAAATTTAAAAAAGCAAAGAATATAATTTAACTCTTATAGAATGGTTGTGCTAGTTTGTCTGGGAGCATACTAGTTTCTTAAAACTTCTTTATTCTTTAAGATTACTTTTTATACAGTACCTATAAAACTAGAATGACTTTCCTAGAAGTATCACATTTTGTATATTCATATATAAAAAAAAAAAAAAAAAAAATTAAAATTTTGCTTGGTTACCAATTTTGTTAAGTGCTTTGAAAATCATGAATGGTTATGGAGGCAGGAGGCATATGTTGATAACACAGTTGGAAAAATCTAGTCCTTTTACAGTCACTGTAAGTAATTTTGTAGCTATAAACTTAGAAGCATGTATTTCTTCCTGTTCATTGGAAAGTTGAAAGGGAAATCATTTAAATAAAAATGTCAAAATGTATACCAAGAATTAATAAAATTATTCTATTTTAAGCAGTGATATGAAAATAATACTAAACATTTTAAGAGCAGTTATTTCCCTAAGCAATTTTTATGTGGCTAACACTCAAAATATTCCTAGCTATCTTTGTACATAGGTATTTTAATTAAAGTGCTAATATTCCTTCAGGTTAGAATTTAGCATGTCCTTTCTTTTTAATTTAATTCGCAATTGTGGGCAAACAAAATTAAAGGCATTCTGAAACTGCCATCAAACAAGTAAACATATCTGGATATTGTTCAAACAACAAAAACCAGGGACCAGAACCTATAAACAAGTTCTATAAATAAGACAAGTGCAATTACAATGATCTCAATAAAATGTAACCATTTAAGTTACTGTAATTATTAAAAATTTTCTTTTTACAGTAAAAATCTATTACTTTAGGCTAAAATAATAAAAGATTCATAGTCAAAATAAGAAAATGGAATGAAATACTGTTTAAAGTACATCTAAATTTTTAAAACATGGTATCACAAATGTTAAAAAAGCTATTAGACCATCAAAGGAACATGTTTACTTGTTTGCAATTTACATTCACATTTTAAAATTTGGAAAAATGCACTGGAAACATTAAAGTCAGGAAGTGTTTTATAGGTACCTTAAAAAGTTGTTTTGCTTCTATAGGCACTTAAATCTTCAAGTTTATTATTATATAAAGCAATTTTAAAATTAATTTGTAATCTTTTGTTACAGAAATGCTTTTAAGGTAAAATATTTTTATAAAAATTAAATTATGAAGATTCAGAGAAAGATTTTTATTAAGTATTATTACAGACACTTAAAAACTAGCCAAAATCTTTTTGGCTATCATATGGATACAAGCTTTAAACACAAAACACATCAAAACAGGCTTCCATACAGAAAGATTAGAAACTCTATTACCCTTAAAGTTAAGTCTTCTCTTTCAAAGGCATTTCCGTTCCCATCAAAGATGATTTGCTTCAAAGTCCATTATATAAGGTTTACCCAAGGGACATAATTATAAGGGGAACTTTTCCATTACAATTTTTTAAAGGGCTGGAGGGTGAGTATCCTCCTTTTCACAAAGAAAACTAGTTCCTCTTTTAAAATCCTACTCTGCCATTTTAGTCCTAAAGTCAATTATATATCAGTTCAATTTGTAAAGTTATTACACTGTCCACTTATAAGAGGAAAGGAAATGGCTACTTAGAGGACTTATGGGATTCATAATGGAGCTTGATCTCTGTCAGGTTTAAAGGCTGCAAAAGAATATTCTTTTATTAAGTTAATTTTCCATTTTAGATTGCTAGGCTAACATACAGTTCAGGAAGAAAAATTATTCATATAAGCTAGAAGTTGAAAGAAGTTTGAGAGTAATATTTTAGTGCAATTACAGATTAGATCAGTTTCAAATGGAAATGTTTCAAAGAACACATACATGTCTAATCACAAATGGAGGTTTATCTGTTTCTTTCTTGAATTCATAAGGGCCGAGATTTAAATGGGCCAGCCGCCGCCTGGTGTCTTCTGATAGCTCACACATGCGTCTTTTTGTGTAAGGAGATGGAGAGTGTGATTTTGAAGAAATTGTAGGCTGTTCGTAGCTTTTTGCATTTATGCAATACTTATTTCTCTCAGGTGACTTGGATTTTTTCTTCTGTGACCTCGATGTTCTGTTTTGCAGTCTGCCGTGTGGTTTTTCAACTGGAGCCGTATGGTAAATGAATTTATCCTAAACATAAAAAATAAAAATTAGTTTGGCCAGGAGAGATATACTATATACATATTATGACCCTTGGATAAACCATATATACAACCACAGGTAGAAAAAAACTTTAAAAAATAATTTAAGGTACATACAATCTATCAAAATCAACTAGATCAGTCTCTTGTTTGTGCAGATTCTGGGGGAAGTCAAATCCATCTCCTCCCAAATAACTCTGTCTAGTAATAAGTAAAATATACTGTACCACACTTCTTCTTAAGTATAATAAGTACTTCATGAAAGTTAAAGCCCAATATTTAATCATTTGAAAAATCTAAGAAAAAATTAAAAAGTTATTTTTCAATATACTAAAAATTAATGTAAATGTTGGTTTATCATTTGTAACTAACTGGCTATATAATTTAAGAGGGTAAGGTTAATAATCTTACAAATACACATCTAATTAGTTGATTATAAAATCTTAATGGAGAAAACTATGTATGTTTCATTCATACTATTATAATTACATACACTTGCACAATATGAAACTCTGAAGTAAAGCTTTTTACATATTTTCATTGAACATATTATTTGAATTATACAAGGAGATTATAATTTTAATATCTCTTCCAAACTTTAAAATTCAATAGCAGATAAACATAACGTCTTAATTCTGTACTTTCATATAAGTAAAAATGTCCAAAAGACATGTTATAAATTTTAATAACTAGAACTCTATCTTCAAATAATATTGGTTAATTTTAAAAACAAACATGGTATTTCTAAAATTTTTGAGTTATTAGGATATTTTATTCAAATAAAAATTATTCTGCCTTAAAAAAGCTGGATCACAAATAAACAATGTAAAGACCACTTCAAGCAGTATCCAGATTTATAAGCTTTCTAATATTAGAGAAAATAGACGGTTAAGAGTCAGTGAATGCCTCCTAACTTTCTAACTTTAAAAATCCACCTAACCTACCTCTCCCCTTTTCCACCTTCTCAGTCTCCCTCTCTACCTGCTAAGGGTATCTATTTCAGAGTAAATAAAATACAAACATAAAATAGAAAAGTCACGCATTTTTTAAAGCAGATAAACAGAAAAGAAAATAGGAAAACAAGAAAATATTTTCTGATTAGGAAAAAAGTAAGTCCAAAAGTTTCATACAGACCAGCAGCATCAGATTATTTCATCATCTTTCTTCTCTAGCTCTTGTTAATGCTCCCGGACCTTCTCCCACCTTGTTCAATGACTTCAACAAGTAATTCAGAATTTTCATCCCATTTCATGCATCTTTATGACATCACACTGACTCAAAGAAGCAGCAATGTTAGCACATGAACCTTTGAGGTTTAATAAAATGTTCAAGCAATGAATCTTTCCAAGACCTTGAACTTAGACTTTCTACTGCTGAGCTTTAACTATCTCTTTCTACTTCATCTTAGATTTCACCATTATTCAGATCCACTGCACCCTAAACTCTGAAAATCTCTTGTTGACCAAACCTTCTTTTCTTCAACCTACTCCTTTTATTTTCACTGAATCTGTTACTTGCCCTCCTCTCCTCCTCAGCTCCTAGATTTCTTTCCCCTAGATCTTTATACATTTTTAGTATCTCTTACTTTCAGATCCAGATAAATCCATCATTACCTATTTCAGCAATGCTGTAAAGTTCCTTCTTACCCACTTCTGTTTATACCAAACCGAAACTCACACTTTCTTCATTACACTTTTTGAATGCTGAATATCATACAGTATATCTGTGCTGTATCAGCCACAGATTCATGCTTTCTAACCTAATCAATCCTTAATGTATCCTATTAACGTCCAACAAAACTTAAATAGTGGCTGTTTTATACAAAATGGCTCCCTCCATCAGCCACCAAACAGCAATTGTAACAAAAGGAGACCTGAAAAGTGCTTGTCTTCTTTTATTCCAGAAAAACTTTCCTGCCACATGTGAAGGAGCTGAAATCTGCCTGCTACACGAGGACAGTCTATGGCCATCACCCCAGTTGACATCAAGCCAAATACCAGGAATGTAAAATCCCTCTCAGACCAAGAAGTCATCCAGCTGCCAAACATATAGGTGAAGCCATGCTAGACCACTCAGCCCTAGCCTAGCCAGCCCAAACCAAAAGAATTACACAGCCAAGCCACACAACAGTGAGAAACAACTTACTTTAAGTTACTAACTTTGTTAAACAGAAGACCTGATATAGATTATCAGATATACTAATAAAGTTACTTTATTAATATGTAATATTTAACTACTTACTACTAATAATAAATTCTAATCTGTGGTAGGTAAAAGAAAGTAAGTAGAAAATGATTTATTCCAGAAAATCCCAATAATATATACCTTATCCTTGTCAGTCCATTCAATTGGTGACATCAATTGTGATTTAAAAAACTTGAAAAAAATGTTCCCAAAGGAATAAAGATCATTATAAATATTTATAAAGCTAAATTATCATATGAAGTTTATTTTACTCACTCTTAAAAATTAAAATGGTTTGTCTTATTTTAAACTGTATTTAAGGCTGAAAATGCTGTTTTATAGCCATTAAAAATTTAATTGTAACTAATACTTGGGAAAAAAGTGGATTTAGCATGTTCTCAAACACTATCATATAAAATTAAAATTCTGCCTGTTACCATCCACAAGTTTAATGTAAAAATGTATACTCTGTTGCACCTATCAGACAATATATTCTAATATCTCATCTATGTCTTCTACATCTCAGTTGTCTTAATTAAAACCATAACCTCAGTAACAGTCACAAAATTTATTAATTATATGTTACATGCCAGGCACATATATTCTCTAATCTTTAAATCAGTCTTATGAGGAACTTGAAACCAAATCTGTCTGATTCTCAAGAATATTTTCTTAAACACTAACACCAACAACTAGTTTCTCACATTTCTGTTCAACAAAGAACAAATGACAAACACTGAAAGAGCAAGTCAGCCAAAAGCTTATAGAGGCAAATGTTAGTCCAATGAAACTACTAGTGGGATGACAGTTCTACATTTAGTAAGGAGTCTTCCACAAAGCTGTACACTTAGAATGTATGCACTCTTCTGTGTGTATGCTACACTCCTGACCAAAAAAGAGAACTTTCTACCCATCCAGCAGAAGGGAATACCCCAGCATGGAACGGAAACTTGTTATGACTAGGAAAAGAATTTATGACAATTTATAAATGTGCACAGAGCATATCTCCAAACAAGTCAGTAAGCCAGCCCTACATTTGGCAAGCGAGTCATCAGACCTCTAACAGCAGTATTTCATTTTGCATTTAAAAGACAAATAATTAGGCTAAAGTCTGATATAGCAAATGTCCTGCTAAACAAAGTAAGAAAGATCCCCTTGATAATCTTATAACTATATTTTACCTTTCTTAGCTTGTTATCACCCTGAGAAAATTTACTCTTAAACTGTTAATGTAGGAGATTAACATTCTACTTTTCCCACCATAGGTCCAGTCCTGCCCTGTTTGGGCCCACTAGTCCTGGCTCATTGTCACAGGCTGCCCATTGTTACGTGGTCATAATGCAGCCACACATGTATGAGTAATGCCTGGACACTGTTAGATCATCTGTGGACAGGGCAGAAAGAAGAGCCTGGTGACTCAGTAGAAAGTTGGACCAAAATGGAGTATTAGATCCAGATATCTGAGTTTAAATCTTTAAAGACAGATTTTACAAACATAGAAGGTACTTAAGCTGAAGTAGCCAAGCTTCTCTTGATCTGATAGCATAAACAGCCACCAAACTAGAGCAACAGTCCTTAAAGAATCAGAAACACTCAAGAAGCTATACCTACTAAACACCTATAACCCAGTCTGAGTACTTGTGGCCCCATTTGCTAAAAAGGGAACTTTTTAGCAAATCCTTTGAACTTACAGTTCCTTAAGATCTATAGAAGCCTCCAATCTGGTTCTCTGTGGAACTTCTTGATCCCAACATCTTTCTGGCAGTTTAATTTCTTTCCATAAGTAAGTAAACAAAAGTACCATCTACCAACTGTAACAAGCTTTTCACATTCACACTTATTAAAATATAAACAAAATGCTAAATACCTATGATAATCGTTTTACTTTAAAGATCCAAATATAACCCCTTACAATTATACAGCAGAAGCGAGAAATAGATTTGAGGAACAAATTGAAGGAACTAGATCTGTTAGACAGAGTGCCTGATGAACTATGGATGCAGGTTCATGACACTGTACAGGAGACAGGGAGCAAGACGATCCCTAAGAAAAAGAAATGCAAAAAAGCAAAAGCAAAATGGTTCTCTGAGGAGGCCTTACAAATAACTGTGAAAAGAAGAGCAGTGAAAAGCAACAGGGAAAAAGAAAGATATACCCATTTGAATGCAGAGTTCCAAAGAGTAGCAAGGAGGGATAAGAAAGCCTTCCTCAATGATCAATGCAAAAAACTGAGGAAAATAATAGAAAGACTAGAGATCTCTTCAAGAAAATTAGAGATAACCAAGGGAACATTTCATGCAAAGATGGTCTCAATAAAGGATAGAAATGGTATGGACCTAACAGAAGCAGAAGATATTAAGAAGAGGTGGCAAGAATACACAGAAGAACTGTACAAAAAAGATCTTCATGACACAGATAACCACAATGGTGTGATCACTCACCTAGAGCCAGACATCCTGAAATGTGAAGTCAAGTGGGCCTGAGAAAGCATCACAACGAACAAAGCTAGTGGAGGTGATGGAATTCCAGTTGAGCTATTTCAAATCCTAAAAGATGATGCTGTGAAAGTGTTGCACTCAATGTCAGCAAATTTGGAAAACTCAGCAGTGGCCACGGGACTGGAAAAGGTCAGTTTTCATTCCAACCCCAAAGAAAGGCAATGCCAAAGAATGCTCAAACTACGGCACAGTTGTACTCATCTCACATGCCCGTAAACTAATGCTCAAAATTCTCCAAGCCAGGTTTCAGCAATATGTGAACCGTGAAATTCCAGATGTTCAAGCTGGTTTTACAAAAGGCAGAGGAACCAGAGATCAAATTGCCAGTATCTGCTGGATCATCAAAAAGGCAAGAGAGTTCCAGAAAAACATCTATTTCTGCTTTATTGACTATGCCAAAGCCTTTGACTGTGTGGATCAATATAAACTGTGGAAAATTCTGAAAGAGACAGGAATACCAGCCCACCTGACCTGCCTCTTAAGAAATCTGTATGCAGGTCAGGAAGCAACAGTTAGAGCTGGACATGGAACAACAGACTGGTTCCAAATAGGAAAAGGAGTATGTAAAGTCTGTATATTGTCACCCTGCTTATTTAACTTATATGCAGAGTACATCATGAGAAATGCTGGGATGGATGAAGCACAAGCTGGAATCCAGATTGCTGGGAGAAATATCAATAACCTCAGATATGCAGATGAAACCATCCTTATGGCAGAAAGCGAAGAACTAAAGAGCCTCTTGATGAAAGTGAAAGAGGAGGGTAAAAAAGCTGGCTTAAAGCTCAACATTCAGAAAACTAAGATCATGGCATCTGGTCCCATCACTTCATGGCAAATAGATGGGGAAACAGTGGAAACAGTGACAGATTTTATTTTTTGGGCTCCAAAATCACTGCAGATGGTGACTGCAGCCATGAAATTCAAAGACACTTACTCCTTGGAAAGAAAGTTATTACCAACCTAGACAGCTTATTAAAAAGCAGAGACATTACTTTACCAACAAAGGTCTGTTTCGTCAAGGCTATGGTTTTTCCAGTTGCCATGTATGGATGTGAGAGTTGGACTATAAAGAAAGCTGAGCACTGAAGAACTGATGCTTTTGAACTGTGGTATTGGAGAAGACTCTTGAGAGCCCCTTCGACTGAAAGGAGATCCAACCAGTCCATCCTAAAGGAAATCAGTCCTGAGTTTTCACTGGAAGGACTGATGTTGAAGCTGAAACTCCAATACTTTGGCCACCTGAGATGAAAAGCTAACTCATTTGAAAAGACCCTGATGCTGGGGAAGACTGAAGGCAGAAGGAGAAGGGGCCGACAAAGGATGAGATGGTTGGATGGCCTCACCGACTCAATGGAGATGAGTTTGAGTAGACTCTGGGAGTTAGTGATGGACAGCGAGGCCTGGCATGCTGTGGTCTATGGGGTCGCAAAGAGTTAGACACGACTGAGTGACTGAACTAAACTAACTGAACTGAAAGATCCAAAGAATGTTAAAAGAACTGCAGCCGAAATAAAAAAAATAGCACTTGCCAAATGCCCAATAAATATGAACTAATACATTAAATCATTAAATACTTTAAATAAATTATTTTAACCTGAGTGCGGCACTTCCTTGAACTTATCAGACATTCAGTAATCACTGAGGTTGTAGAAAATTCCAGCTTTGGAGCAATTCCCTGAAGAGGAAAGACAGGGTATTATTAGACATTTTAACTTTTAAAGAGATAATGATTACTGATGAAAATACAACCTACAGTAACAAACATTTATCAAGGTTCAACTGCTTTTTGTTAGTTTGAACTTCTTATTAAGGATAAAGACAACAAACTAATGTTACATGTTATCAAGAAACAGTTTCACTGCTGATAATTCACTTACAAGTGATTATATCACTTTTATGGAGAAATTAAGAAATTTTTCATTTTCAAGGATTTCCCTATAAAAATTTTTAAAGATTGTTAATAATAATATTAAAGTTCTAAATATGTAAAAATACTCAATAGATTCTAACTCTTTTTACTCTCACAAATTGAGACATACATAACTAATGCAATCAAGAAGTACTTTCATAGTCTCTAGACGCTAAAAAATATTCACAGCTCCTGGGTATACAGTTCTTGAATACAGAAGATAGATAAGTCTCTACCAATTCTTCCAACAGTTTTTCCCATAATGAAGCTTAAATCCAGATCTATGAATGAATGAATGTGGTTACTATCTCTTGCAACATTTCAATCATCAGTTTAAACACTGTTTTGAGATAAGTAGAGAAAAATGGTAAAATTCAAAGGAACAGTCACAAAGTACCTGGGAAAATATCTGGAAGCACACAAATGACAGTCACACAAATTACAGTTCACCAAAACATCAAAGATACACTGCTGTCTGTGCCCAGGGCTGCTTCATTCTAATATAATGGAAGTCAAACATTTTACCCTGTCTTTGACTTACTAACTTTAAAGTTTCAAACATTATACACTACAAAAAAGTTAAATATGAGCTACCTATGAATTAAGTGGATGACTTTTTCAAAAAACATGCTTTTATGATGATATCCACTATGCTTATTTATTAGCTATCTATTGTTGCAAAGCATGTTACTTAGCAGTTTAAAACATCATTACACATTTACTGTCTCACATAGTTTCTAAGGGTCAGGAATCTGAAAGAGGCTGAACTAGGTGGTTCTGGCTTGAAATCTCTCCTGAGATTTCAGTCAAGATGTTGTTTGGGCTGTAGTTATCTGAAGGCTTGTCTGAGGCAAGAGGATTTGCTTCCTAAGAGTCACACAGCTGCTGACTGGAGGACTCACTTCTTTTCCATCTTTTAAAAAAGAGGACGTGGCTCCTTATCATAAAAACCTCTCCACAGGACTTCTTGAATGTCCTCATGATATAGTAACTAGTTCTTCCAAAGAAAAGCAAGGAAGAAGACACAATTCTTTTTATGATTTAGTCTTAGAAGTCTAACACTGTCACTTCTGTCACTTTCTATTCATTAGAGCTCCTAAGTACAATCCAAATTCTAGAACAAAAGAAACAGACTACATTTTTAGCAGAAGGGCATCAAAAATTGGGGGGGGGGGATTTTTTTAAACAATCACAATTCACTCTTTGATCATAAATTACTTAGATTTCTCTCATGTGCAAAATAAATGCATGGCCTACTGAAGGAAATAGAAAAGTAAAGGAAAAAGTTTCACTCCTTTAAAACACCAGCTTGAAATCCAGGATGTTTACATCTGAATCAAACCATTATTTAGCTGTCTCAGGTATGGTTCTTTAAGTACAGTTCTAAGAATATAGTTCCTCACAATTAGAATATGTATGAACTAATAAAGAAACAAGTTATGTGCCCCACATATAATCAAGGTACGTACGTAGCAGACAGAGGACAATCACCATAGAATACAAGAGGCAAACAGGAATCACTGTTATTTTTCTTGTTCAGTGTCTAAGACATGTCTGACTCCTTATGACCCCATGGACTGCAGCATGTCAGGCTTCCTTGTCCTTTACCATCTCCTGGAGTTTGCTCAAACTCATGTCATTGAGTGAGTGATGCCATCCAACCATCTCATCCTCTGTCACCCCCTTCTCCTACTTCCTTCAACTTTTCCCAGGATCAGGGTCTTTTCCAATGAGTAGGTTCTTTGCATTAGGTGGCCAAATGATTGGAGCTTCAGCTTCAGCATCAGTCCTTCCAAAGAATATTCAGAGTTGATTTCCTTTAGGATTGACTGGTTTGATCTCCTTGCAGTCCAAGGGACTCTCAAGAGTCTTCTTCAGCACCACAGTTCAAAAGCATTAATTTTTTGACACTCAGCCTTCTTTATGGTCCAACTCTCACATCCATACATGACTACTGGAAAAATCATACCTTTGATTATACAGACCTATAGGCAAAGTAATATCTCTGCTTTTTAACATGCTGTCTAGGTTTGTCATAGCTTTCTTTCCAAGGAGCAAGTGTTTTTTAATTTCATGCATACAGTTACCAACCCAGTGATTTTGGAGCCCAAGAAAAGAAAACTCTGTTACTGTTTCCACTTTTTCCCCTTCAATTTGCCATGAAGTGACTGGTCCAGATGCCATGATCTTTGCTTTTTGAATGTTGAATTTCAAGGCAGCTTTTTCACTCTCCTCTTTCACCCTCATCAAGTGGTTCTTTAGTTCCTCCTCACTTTCTGCCATTTGAGTGGTATTATCTGCATATTTGAAACTGCTGATATTTCTCCTGACAATCTTGATTCCAGTTTGTGATTCATCCAGACTGGCATTTCACATGGTGTACTCTGTATAGAAGTTAAATAAGGAGGGTGAAAATATACTGCCTTATCATACTCCTTCCCCAATTTTGAACCAGTCCATTGTTCCATGCCTGATTCCAACTATTGCTTATTGACTCACATACAGGTTTCTCAGGAGATAGGTAAGGTAGTCTGGTACTCATATCTCTTGAAGAATTTTCCAGTTTGTTGTGATCCACACAGGCAAAGGCTTTAGTGTAGTCAAGGAAACAGAAGCAGTTGTTTTTATGGAACTCCCTTGCTTTCTTCATGATCCAACAAATGTTGTCAATTTGACCTCTGGTTCCTCTGCCTCTTCCAGACCCAACTTGTACATCTGGAAGTTCTCAGTTAATGTACTGCTGAAGCCTGGCTTGAAGGATTTTGAATATAACCTTGTTAGCAAATGAAGTGAGCCCAACTGTATAGCAGTTTGAACATTCTTTGGCATTTCCCTTCTTTGGGATTAAAATGAAAACTGACCTTTTCTAGTCCTGTGGCCACTGCTGAGTTTTCTAAATTTGCTGACATATTGAGTGCAGCACTTTAACAGCATCACAGTATCTTTTAGGATTTGAGATAGCTCAGCTGGAATTCCATCACCTCCACTAGCTTTGTTTATAATAATTCTTCCTAAGGCCCACTTGACCTCACACTCCATGATGTCTGGCTCTAGGTGAGTGACCACAACATTATGGTTCTCTCGGTCATTAAGACTTTTTTGTGTAGTTCTTCTATGTATTCTTGCCACTTCTTTTAACCTCTTCTACTTCTGTTAGATTGTTACCGGTTCTGTGCTTTATCATGCCCATCCTTGCATGGAATTTTCCCTTGGTATCTCCAGTTTTCTTGAAAAGATCTTTAGTCTTTCCCATTCTATTGTTTCCCTCTATTTCTTTGCTTTGTTCATTTAAGAAGGCCTTCTTATGATCTCTTCCTGCTAGTCTCTGGGACTCTGCATTCAGCTGATAATACCTTTCCCTTTGTTCCTGGCCTTTTGCTTCTCTTCTTTCCTCAGTTATTTATAAAGCCTCTTCAGACAACCACTTTGCCTTCTTGTGTTCCTTTTTCTTTGGGATGGTTTTGGTCACTGCCTCCTGTGCAATGTTACAAACCACCGCCCATAGTTCTTCAGACACTGTCTATCACATCTAGTCCCTTGAATCTATTCATCACCTTCGCTGTATAGTCATAAGCAATTTGATTTAGGTCATACCTTAATGGTCTAGCGGTTTTCCCTACTTTCTTCAAGTTATCAGTAGGGAGAAGGAAGGGGGAATATAGAGACAGGAGACAGAGAAGTACAAACTACTAGGTGCAAAACAAGTTTCAAGTATGTATTGTACAACACAGGGAAAATACCCAATATTTTATAATAACTGTAAGTGGAAAGTAACCTTTAAAAGTGTGATAAAATTCAACATCCCTTTATAATATATACACTCTAGAAAGTGGGCACAGAGGAAACATACTTCAACATAATAAAGGTCACATACGAGAAAGCCACAGTTAACACCATTTTCAATGGTGAAAAGCTGAAAGGCAACAAGGACACCCACTCTCACCACTTTTCTTCCATGTATTTTTGGAAGTCCTAGCCACAGCAATCAGAGAAGAAAAACAAATAAAATGAATCCACGTTGGAAGGAAGAAGTAAAACTAACTATTTGCATATAACACAATACTATACATAGAAAATCCTAAAGACACCACCAGAAAACTACTAGAGCTCATCAATAAATTCAGTAAAGTTGCAAGATACTAAATTAACATGTAAAAACCAGTTGCATTTCTATACACTAACAATGAACAATGAATGAATGAATGAGAAATGACAATTTCATGAATTGAATGAACAAATGAATGAACAAATTGAATGAACAATGAATGAAGAAAGAGAAATTAAGGGACAATCTCATTTATCATGACATCAAAAGGAATAAAACACTTAGGAATAAAACCTACCTAAGTTGGCAAAAGATCTGTACTCCAAAAATTATAAGACACAAATTGGAGACAACACAAACAAATGGAAATACATGCCATGTTCTTGGATTGGAAGAATCAATATTGTTAAAATGACCATACTACCAAGGCAATCTACAGATTCAATGCAATCCCCATCAAATCACCAATAGCATTTTTCACAGAACTAGAACAAATTATTTTAAAGTTTGTACTGAAATACAAAAGACCCCAAATAGCAAAAACAATACTGATAAAGAAGAATGAAGTTGGAGGAATCATGCTCTCTAACTTCAGACTATACTACAAAGCTACAGTCATCAATATAGTAGGAAACCAGCATAAAAACAGACATACAGATCAATGGAATAGGTTGGAAAGCCCAGAAATAAACCCAGACACTCAAGGTCAATTAATCTACAA